CCGCATCAAGGAAGCTCGAACAGAGTCAAGCATGGCGGTTGAGTGGGCAGCGGCATAGCTGCTGGGTGATGACCTTGAACTCTCTCTCTTTCTCCCTCTCTCTCTCTGTGTGCATGCCGCCCGCTCCCGACGACTGCTCGTCTTCACTGCGTACCCATTCGCTCCGCCAGTGCATCCCGCAGGATCAGCGCATCCCCCGTCGACGACTTCATACACATCTGCCTCAACGAGCGGTGCATCCCAAGGTCCACCCTGCGACGAACACCGTCCGGCCCGACCTCCCACAATAGATTGTCGTCGAACGGGATGCCCGCGTCGATGAGTATGTTGTGGAGCATGCAGACGGCGACGAATTGCTGCGGCAACGTGTCCATGTTCGTCTTGTGGGAGCGAAGGAACAACCTCCACATCCCCTTCAATCTGTCGAAAGCCCTCTCGACTGCTCCCCTCGCCGTCTTCTGCTTGTTGTCAAACCGAATCTCTGACGGGCGCTGCGATACACCGCCGTAGGGGACGACTACCCATTCCGAGGGGGGGTAACCGTTGTCGCCCAGTAGATAGCCGTTCGTTCGCACACCGAAAGGCAGCATGACAGGTGACCCAGTGAAAAGTTCCCCTGCCTCCTCACACGCCCACAAACTGGACAGGTGGACGATCCTCACGTTGTGGCAGCTCCCCGGGTATCCGACGAACACATCCAGCACACGCAAGTTCAGATCGACGACCACCTGAGCCTGGACGGAGAGACGACGTTTTTTGTCGTAGTAGTCCTCTCCGGGGCAATTGGCTGGCTTGCCGATGAAGATGTGGGTACAATCGATGCAACCATTGCAGTTGGGGAAACCCTTGTCAGCGAAAGCGCGCAAGACGACCGCCTTTTGCAGCCCCGTTGGCCACGATATCTTGTCGCTGTACGCACTCAGCAATGCCGAAGTAACATCCCGCACAGCCACCAACCCAGACTTTCTGCCAATGCCGAAGCTGCACGTCCCGCTCTCGTACGTCTCCCCCGACGCCCATCTGTACATAGCGAACGCTACGATGAGGTCAGGCTGGAGGGGCTCCCTATAAAATGTCACACGCCGTTGAAGGAAGGGAGACAGAGTTTCCGCTATCTCCCGGAACACCCATGGCGACATGCGCAGCTTGTCCTTGAAGTAGTCTTCTATCGCGTCGTCGCATTGCCGCAGATCCTCCCACACCCCCCCTGTTCGACGCTTCATCCACCACCTCGGCGTCGCTCTGGGAAACACTCCACACCCCATGGCATAGCACACCTGAAGGACAGGGTCGCAAATGGCGCCACTGCCCTCTTCGTCCACATGAATGGACTGCAGCGTCTTCTTCCGGCGTGCGCGAATGGCTGCTCTCATCCTCCCCTCCGTCCTCTGCAATTGACACCTGATGAGTATCATGTTCACGGCCGCTGCCACAGCCGCCCTCTCCACCTTGCTGAGTGTGTCATGAACCGCGTCCCCGTCCACGTCCATCGCTCGTCCTCGCCAAGTGAAGAAGGCTCGACTTCGGTGGGAACAACAGCGATGGCGCGTCGTGAAAACCCGACTGAACGGCGTGCACGTCGACGGCGAAGGCGCGCGTAGCGAAGCACACAACGTTGGCGATCGTGTGACTGTGGCCGTGTGACGGCGGCCGTGCTGCTTCAGACGTATTCATGGACGTTCGGCGTGCCAGCAGACCCCACGAAGCCGCCACCCCATACCGAAACAGTCTCGCCGACGAACGTTGCTGCCGTCAGCTGTAAGGGACACACACGCCGCCGTCATTCGCTTACTGGGATTCGAATTTCGAAATTCGAATCCGGGACTGCGCGCCGTTTACGTAGCCTTTTTCTTTTCGCCGCGTAAATTCAAATTTGCGCCGCCCACAGCTCCTGGGCCAAGGGCGACGCCACAGACGCAACCCGCTGGACCAACCTCGCCAACCCCCCCGCGTCCGCGAGTCGAAATATGCAACTGGCCGCGGGAGCACCCGAGGAATCGTCCTCGGGGAACATTTCCGAGGATGAGTGGAACGAAGGCGGGAATTTCCTCGGGCGACTCCAAGGAATCGTCCTCGGGCCCCGAGGATACCCCGAGGAGTGTGGAACGAGCCCCTTTCTCTCACTCGCTTTTTCTCTCAGTTTGGACTATTCCTGGATTTACTTACATCTGTCATCCTTGTGCAGGGACCATGACAACCTTCCCTTTATCATTCCAATTTTAATTAATGTCCTAAGGGAGATGGACGACTCTTTTGGGAAAACTTACTGTGGTCTCTTACACAAAATCCCAAGAAAAAGAGAAGGGCTCAAACCTCCAGCACTTCCGGGCCTCTACGCCCTGAACTTAGGGCCAGATCCCACTGGCAAGAGGATTGGAAGCAGTGTCTGAATCTGGACGTGTTCCACGCAGAGGGGAAGAAAAGTAGATCAATCAGAATTTTTCGCACCTGTCCACAAACACGTCCACATTCAGACACTTACTACAATCCATTTTGCCAGTGGGATCTAGCCCTTAGCCAACACGAAATCAAATCTTTTCAGCAGACACAGCCAGTGTCTTCCTACCTCGTCATTTCTATAGGCCTAGGCCTGAAAGAAGTGCGGCGCTGCCTCTGAACAAAATAGCCGGGAAAAGATTTCCTTCGGTATAGTAATGTGGTTTCAGTTTTAGTGCCCCCACAATACTGTTTGCAGCAGAAAAGTGATGCCAATGGCAGAATGTTTCTAAGGAAGTCCGAGAGAATCATAGAGCCGATCAGAAACTTCCTCCAGCAGAAAAACGAGTGGAAAAGGGGGTTCATAGTCTTTTCCCCTTTGGTAGCAGTCCCACTCCATTTCTCTGTGGAATAGGGCTTTGTTCCTGCTCTGGATTTCATTTGGTTGTTCTTCTTCCTTTACCTCTTCTCCTTCTTTTTCCTTCTCTTCTTCTTGGCCAGCTACTTTGGGCGGGCATGTTTTGAATGAGTCTGGCTAAATTTTTGCTCTGCACTCAGTTCAACTGAATCTCATGCAGATATGTGGCCATATTCGCTCCAAAGTACACTCTTGAATGGATAAGTTCCTGGCATGAACTCTCTCTCTCTCTCTCTCTCTCTCTCTCTCTCTCTCTCTCTCTCTCTC